TGAATTAGACTGTAAACAATGGCGAGAGCTAGTTCATGATTAAGATACATGGACTGATGAGTTGGATGAAACAGGGATTAGGAGATGCCAGAGACAGTGTTTAAAGTTCTGAACTAATATGGTACTACAGGCTCTTTTAAATGTGTGGGCATCATCATCATCACTGTATATGTTTATGATCATGTGGAGGGGTGGCTGAGTGGGGGGCGGTGTATGTGGAAATCAGAGAACAACTTGCAAGAACTGGTTCTCTCTACTATAGATTTCCAGGATCAAATGCAGGTTGTCAGGCTTGGCTGCAAACACTTGTACCCCTTGGGCCACGTCTGCGTATTCTTTCAGATGAAAATGTTACAGTCCTTCAGAACCTGTGGCCTCTTTAGTCATCATTTAAAACAATGTAAGATGTGAGAAAACTGGCTCAACTTTCAAGTTTGTTTGCCAGTGACCTGCTTGCAAGATGAGGTCTTAGTAATGAATTCTGATAGTTCTGTATGGGGTAAATAATATTTTTTATTTACAATGTTATTGGTAAATCATCATCCTTTTTATCACAAAATATATAAACTCGATAATCATAACCACATATACAATACACTTGAGACGTATATATATACATACATATATACATATATAGACTTACATTCATGCTCTTCATTATGTTCTCATCTTCTACTATACTACCCACATTTTGCATTTAATTAAAGCTTACTCTTCTATTTAGGGAGGTATACAATAACAATCTTTCAGCTTGACCCTTTTGCAAGTTCCCATCATTATTCCTGCTGTTCACATACAAACTCTGGACTCCAACAGTTCACCAACCACTGATGAAATCACTCCATCCATGTAGCTTCATTTGTTTTCCAGCAGCTTTTGATGCTCTTATTATAGATGCCTGACTATTTTTCTGGGAATATGGATCATATATATATATATATATATATATATATATATATATATATATATGACTCTCAAGATAGACATAAACAGAGAATCAGCATATCAGAATTTTACTTATACTTTCTACACATTATCCTCAGAGATTCCTTTTACTGATTTTGCTTTCTTATATGGGGTTCTGGGCATTTCATAATGGAAGCCTCCTCTTTATTCTACCTGGTTATTTTCCCCAAGCACCGAAGACACCCATTACTTTTATAAGGTCTTTCTAAAACAAATCTCCTGTCACTGATGTGCAAGGACAAACCAAAGACACAGAAAATATCCTACTATGAGCTTAAGAAGAATTAAATGAAATATTATTATTGGTTTTTCTATTTTAAACACTAGGATGTAAGTTCAATAATAACAATTTAAAAAACAATGATAATTTTCAAACAAAGGCCCTTCACATTGTTGAGAAAATGTACAAAATTAGAAAATTAAGAAATACTGCAGACAACAAATCAGAAGTTATTAATATAACGCTATTTAGGGAAAAAATCTTCCATCATAACTTTAAGCTGTGGGCTGAGAAGAATCTAGCTATCTTACTTGAATTGTGTATTTCCATCTCTTACCCAACCCTCTCAATGGATTCTATGATCCATATTCCCAGAAAGATAGTCAGCATATATAAAAAGAGTATCAAAAGCTGGAAAACAAATGAAACTACATGGGTGGAGTGATTTAATCAGTGGTTGTTGAAATGTTGGAGTCTAGAGTCTGTACGTGAACAGCAGGAATAATGAAAGATTGTTATTGTATACCTCCCTGAATAGGAGAGAAAGTTTTAATTAAATGCAAAATGTGACTAGTATAGTAGAAGATGAGAACATAATGCAGAGCATGAATATAAGTCTATTTCTAATGATCTTTGAGGATGAGTTGCAAGGATACAATTAAACTGTAGGTGCTGGGGGGGTTGCTCACATACTTGCTAAACACAATGGAAGCTTGAAGAAAGGTGAACAGAGTAGTGGACCCACATCATGGAAGGAGAGAGTCAGCTCCTGCAAGTTGTCCTCCGACATCAGTTGGTGACTCCCACAAAGTTTGTGCCACTGTGGCCCTAGAATATTTTGCAGGCAGGACAGATTATAGATCAAAGATTTTGTGGTTGAGTTGGTGTTTACTTTTCTATTTTGGTAGCCTGACGAGTACCCTTCCACGCCACAGACACTAGATCATGGAGGTGAAGGTTCTATGTAGGCACCAGCTCAAATCTCCATGTTCAATGAGTTGTGTAGATGTCTTCAGCAGTGAGCTCTTGCCGTCAGTTTGTAGAGGGCAACCTATCAGACTCAACGATTCTTCGTCTCATCACCATAATATCCCACTCAGACTAACAATTCTTCATCACTCTAATATCCCATAAGCCCTGTGGGTGCTTTCAGTTGTTAATAAAAAATGGGCAATTTGTATATGCTTTGCTTAATGCATGATGATAGAAGCTTGAATACACCTTTCTCCCACAAATGGGCACACAGTGCACACCATTATTGTCAAGATTATTGTTTCCGTCACCTACTCTGACCATTAAGGCCCATACCATCCATTTATATTTCCCAAGTGTGTACTTTACTATCTACATTTTATGTAAATTATCAACCTGTTTTCATGATAAATGAACAATTTGTTGTTATTGGAAGCCAGACACTCTGCTGTTACAGGATTTCCGTTATTAGTATGGTTGAGGCAAATTTTTCAATATTTTTATTTGAGATAGGTATTTTCATATGAGATAGGTACAGATATTTAAAATTTTATCAGATAAATTTATTTGATGATTGATCCTTACCAATTCTTAACTTTTAATCCAGGAATTTGTTTTTTGATCCACAAGACCAAATTGCCTTCCTGAATCTTTTTATTCTTTCTGGGGTTCCTTGGTTTTCTTTTTCTTTCTGAAAATACGTTGACTTCTTTCAGTGTTTTTCATCTCCAGCTAAGGGAACTCACAGTTCAGTTCGGTTATTTTTCATTTTGTGCGACAAGGGGACTTGAAAGTGTACTCCTTTTGAAACCCTCAATCCCGTCCCTAGTGCTGCAACAGATCACCCGTGGCAACCTCCCCCACCCCATCTCCTGTGGATCCAACAGGCCACCATCTCTTAACCTCCCTCCCCTGACTTGTTACTTTATAGTGGTTTCCATCACCAAGAAGCATTCCCTGTGTACAAACGGGCTGAGCAGTCCAGTAAAACAGGCAACACACAGCCATCATACTTCAAAAATCCAGAGAGGAAACAGAAACTAAGGAACAAAATGCCCTTCTAACAAAGACAAACCCAGAAATCAGCACCTGGACCTATAAGCATACCAAATCCAAATGCCAGCACAAGAACACAATCAATAACAGTCAGGGCAATATGTCTCCACTGGAGCCCAGCTGTCCTACCCCAATAGGCCCTGAATGTTTCAACATAGCTTAAGCACAAGAAAAAGAGCTGTATGAGATGATAGAAGCCCTTAAATAGGAAGTAAATCCCTAAAAGAAATCCAGGAAATCACAATCAAACAGTCACAGCAAATGAATAAATCCCTTAAATAAAGCAAACAAAATACTGACAGTTGCGGGGGGGCGGGGGGAGAGTATAAAACCAACATGCCTTAAATTATTCCACAAAATAGAAACAAAAGGAACACTGCCAAATTCATTTTATGAGGCCACAGTCACCCAGATACCAAAAGCACATAAAGAGTCAACAAGAAAGAGAATTACGGACCAATTTCTCTTATGAACATAGATGCAAAAATACTCAATAAAATATTGGCAAACTGAATCCAAGAACACATCAAAAAATCATCCACCATGATCAAGGAGTGTGCTCCATCCCATCGATGCAGGGGTGGTGCAATGTAAAAACAAAATCAGCCAGTGTAATCTTGTTCTCACACCCTTGCATCCAGCTCACATGCATTGCCACCACCAGGGCCAGCTCTACTGTTCTGCCCTGGAGAGGTGCAGGGCCTGCTCTCCAGAGGGGTACAATTGGTGAGGGGCAGGGCCGCTTCTCACTAGTGCTGCATCAGTGAGGGGCAGGGACAACTTTGTGCAACCCTAGCCTCACTGCTTTTAATGGTAACAGGAGCCACAGACATTAACACAGACCATGCCTGGGTGGGAGCCCAGGTTATTCAGATCTTCAAACACTAACCTGGCCCTAGATGGCGGGTCAGGCCCTGATGTCTGCAAGGCCCTTAGTGGCGCTATGGGCCATGGACATCAATATAGACTCCAGCTGTAATTGGACCATGGACCTAGACATGGTCCTTGGCAGCTCCTAAGGCTCAAATGACACCATGGTCCCAGTTGGCAGTGCAGGTCACTTACATCAGCATGGACCCAACAGCAGGGGCCCTCAAACCCCCACATAGTCCCAGGTGTGGGGTTCAGATCTTGGGCACCTTCACTGCCATTGATGGCAACAGGAGCCTCAGACATCAGTGCAGGTCCTGTTTGCATGCAGTAGGGCCATGGACCCAGACATGGCCCAGGCCTGTATATCACCCTGGCCTCAGGTGGCGGTGCATGTTACTCAGGTCTCTATGGGCCAGGCAGCAGCAGAGCCCTCTGGTACCAAGAAGGCCACAGGTGGAGGCCCAGATTCTGGGCATCAATGTGGTCTTTGGTGGTAACACCGGCTACAGACATCATCACAGACTTAGACTACTGTAGGACCCAGACATGGTCCTTGGCAACAGCCTGCGCACAGATGTCATCATGGCCTTAGTTACCATTACAGATTGCCCAGATCAGCATGACCCAAGTGGTGGTGTGACCCCCAAACACCAACATTTCTCCAGGTGGAAGTCTAGACTCTGGGTATCTACTCAGCCTTTGATGGCCACAGGAGTCACAGAAATTGACACAGACCCTTACTTCAGTAGGGCCATGGACCCAGACATGGACCATGGCCACAGTTAGGGACCGGACATAACCATGGCCCTGGGTGGCAGCAGGGGCCACCCAGGTATGTATAGCCCTGGCAGCACCTTGACCTGCTAAAACCAACATGGCCATGCTATGTTGACTTGCTAAAACCAACCAGACCATGGGCCTCTTCATGACCCTCAGTGGCAACAGGATCCATGTACATCAACTCAGAGCCCAGCCACAGCAGGGCATGGACACAGACATGGCCCCTAACAGCAGTCTAGGCTGTATGGCCCTGAATGGCAGCCTAGGAATCCTGGATTATCATGCCCTTGTGGGGGTACACCCCTTAGACGTCAACTAGGTCACAGGTAGTGGCTCAGTTTCCAGGCTTCCATAGGGCCCTTGGTGGTAACAGGAGCCATGGACATCAATACAAAACCCCGCAACTGCATCAGAGCCATGAACCAAGTCATGGCCCTTGGCAGCAGCCAAGCCCCAGACATTGCCATAGCCCTGGGTGAAAAACAGAGCATCTACCTCAGCCTGTTCCTCACCACCCTTGCCTCTTCAGATCTGCCTCTCTCCCCAGCACATGAATTAAGTCTCTTTCTCTGCCTCTTTCTCTGCCTCCCATTTGGCCACCCTGTACTCATTCACCATAATGGTAATGAATGGCCTGGTGCCGGAGGCTCATGGGTGAAATTCTTCCTGCCCCAGGTCTGGGGACCTGGGGGTGGGGTGGGGCAGGGAGCTGCCAACATAATTCTTTACAGATCTTGACAGGAGAATTTTCAGCTTCATATGGATAAACAAGCATGATGACAACAAAAACCCAGGATAGCTAAAACAGTCCTGATGGATAAAAACTGCTGGAGGCCTCCCCATCCTGATTTCAAGCTGTAGGACAGAGCTATAGTAATAAAAACAGCAAAATATTGACATAAAAACAGACACATTGAACAATGGAAGACCTAGACATAAATCCAAACACCTATGGACACCTGATTTTTGATAAAGAACCCAGAAATACACATAGGAAAAAAGACAGCATCTTCAACAAATGGTGGTGGTCAAACTGGATGTCTGCATGTAGCAAATTACAAACAGATCCATATTTATCACCCTACACAAAACTCAAGTTCAAGTGGATCAAAGACTTCAACATAAATCCATATGCACTGAACCTGACAGAAAAGACTTGAGTTTTATGCATGGTGATAGACATGGGAGCTATTTGTATTTTCTACATGTCCACATCCAGGTATGCCAGCATCATTTGTTGAAGAGGTTTTCTTTTTTTCCATTGTACAGTTTCAGCTTCTTTGTCAAAAATCAGGTGTTCATAGATGTATGGATTAATGTCAGATTTATCTATTCTATTCCATTGATCCACATGTTGGTTTTGATGCCAATACAAAGCTGTTTTTATTACTATAGCTCTATAGAAGAGCTTGAAGTCAGGGATGGTGATGTTTCTGGAAATTCCTTTATTGTACAGGATACTAATAACCAGTGATTATTAATTCTTGTTATTTTGAGGGGTTTTTTTTGGTGGTAGTGTGTGTGTGTGTGTGTGTGTGTGTGTGTGTGTGTGTGTGTGTGTGTGTGTGTATTTCCCTTCTTTGGGATTTGCTGGTGTGAAGTTATCTATTACCTGTGTTTCCCTGGGTGAAGCTAACTTCCTCTGGTTGGAGTTTTCCTTCTAGTACTTTCTGTAGGGCTGGATTTGTGAATAGATTTTGTTTAAATCTATCTTTGACATAGAATATCTCATTTTCTCTCTCTTTTGTGATTGAGAGTTTTGCTGGATATGTTAGTCTGGGCTGGCATCCATGGTCTTTTAGTGTCTGCAGAATGTCTGTCCAAGACCTTCCAGCTTTCAGAATTTCCATTGAGAAGTTAGGGGTAATTCTAATAGGTCTGCCTTTACATGTTACTTGGCCTTTTGCTTTTGATGCTCTTAATATTCTTTCTTTATTATGTATGTTTAGTGTTTTGATTATTATGTGGCAAGAGGACTTTTTTTTTTTTTTCGGTCCAGTCCTTTGGTGTTCTGTAAGCTTCTTGTATCTTCATAGGAATTTCCTTATTTAGGTTGGCAATGTTTTCTTCTATGATTTTGTGGAATATAATTTCTGTGGCTTTGAGTTAGAATTCTTTTCCTTCTTCTATCCATATTATTCTTAGGTGTGGTCTTTTCATTTTATCCCAGATTTCCTGGATGTCTTGTATTAAAAATTTACTGTATTTAATATTTCCTTTGACTGATGAGTCTATTTCCTCTATCATGTATCCTCAATGCCTGAGATTCTCTCTTCCATCTCTTGTATTCTGTTGGTTATACTTGCATCTGTAGTTCCTGTTTGTTTACTCAGATTTTCCATTTCCAGAATTCCCTTGTTTGTGTTTTCTTTACTGCCTCTATTTCAATTTTCAAGTGTTGAAGTGTTTTCTTCGCCTGTTTAGTTGTTTTTTCTTCACTTCCTTGGCTTTCCTTAAGGGATTTATTGATTTCTTCCAATTTTTTGTTTGTCTGTTCCTCCATTTCTTTCTTTCTTTTCTTTTCTTTTTTTTTTTTTTTTTTTTTTTGGTTTTTCGAGACAGGGTTTCTCTGTGTAGTTTTTTTTTGACTGCCCTGGAGCTTGCTTCAAAGACCAGGCTGGCCTCAAACTCACAGAGATCCGTCTGCCTCAGCCTCCTGAGTGCTGGGATTAAAGGCATGTGCCACTCCTGCCCGGCTTTTTCTCCATTTCTTTAAGGGAATTTTTCATTTCCTCATTAAGGTCCTCTATCATCTTCATAAAGTTATTTTATGGTTGTTTTCTTCTGATTCATCTTTCTTGGGATGCTCAGGTCTTGCTGTTGTAGAACCATTCATTTCTGATGGTGCCATATTGCTCTTGGTGTTGTTGAATGCATTCTTACACTGCCACCTGCCCATTTCTTCCTCCAATCCATACAAGTGGAGCCTGTGCCTCTGGGAGTCTCTCTTCTTCCAGTTGGTGCAGATGGAACGGATCTATGGCTCTAGTGGTCACTGGTGCCACATGGGATGGTTGGTGAGGGGGCAGGGGAGGATGCTGTTTCCCAGTCTCTGGGGCTGTGATGGGTTGGGGAGGGGCACAGTATGTGCCCCCAGGGCCAAGGGGCTAGAGAGATGGGCTGTCCAGCCAGGAGTTCAAGGACTTTGAAGCCCCTCTTCATCTCTGCTTTTTCCCCTCTGTTTCTTAAGGTCCTCCTGCTCTGATGGATCCAGTCTTCCAGAAGACAGACCATTAAAGGTCAGTGCTGGATGAGATCAAAGCAAATACCAAGGCAGCAGAACCACATCCCATTCTCCTTTGCTCTCTCTAGTAGGACAAGGTGGCTATGAGTGAGGCTCTAGTACAGGTGAGGATCAGTCTCTTGCAGATATGGTGGAAGGTGTTGTTCTTTCCTTCTGTATGGCCCCTGAGCTGGTGTGCTGAATTCAAAAGTCTTCCAGAAGTAGTGATACCCTTGAGGGTAGCTGTTTCTAGTAGAGACATGAGTCTTGCAGGCTGGAAGTCCTATAGACTGCACTTTGGAGGCCAGAGACACATTATCTCCGTGAAGCCCAAGAATTTTTTGGTATCGAGACATCTCTCTGTCTTCACCTACAATGACCAAGGAGTCCTCTTTGAGGACCGACCTTTTGTCCAGAATGACTGTTACTACCTTGGTTTTGTGGAAGGGGACCCAGAATCCATGGTTGCTCTTACCACCTGTTTTGGGGGCTTGCAAGGAACATTACAGATAAATGATACAGCTTATGAAATTAAACCCAAGAGCGCTTCTTCCACATTTGAACATCTGGTTTATAAGATAGACAATGACAAAGCTCAGTTACCTTCCATGAGATGTGGATTACCAGATGAAGAAAGAGCAGGGCAAGTGAGACTTCAAAAGGATGATGACTCTTCTGTAACACAAATTGTCTATGGGGATTGGTGGACTCACAGACTGAATATTGAACTGGCATTGGTTATAGACCATAAACAATTCCTTTATCGAAAAAGTAATGCTTCTCTTGTGATACAAGATGTATTCATGATTATGAGTGGACTAAATTTCTTCTTATTTCCAGCTGATATTAATGTGGATTTACTAGGACTGGAAATCTGGAATAATAAAAACCCCATACCAGTGAAAGATATATATACTCTCTTGCCAACATTTTGTAAGTGGAAGAGAGAAAACCTTGATTCTTACATACCACATGACATTGCACATCTCCTTGTGAATTATAATTTTAGTAACTATTTTGGCATAGCCTATGTTGGAACAATATGTAATAAGACATTTGGTTGTGGTGTTGAGAGTCTCTTGGGAGAGAATTTCTTCACCTTTGGACATATCGTGGCACATGAGATAGGTCATAATTTGGGCATGCCCCATGATGGGATATTTTGTACATGTGGCACGGAACCATGTGTGATGTCTGCTACAATGGAAGGATCCAGAAAATTCAGCAACTGTAGCTACGCTGTGCTGTGGGAAAACACAGCCAAAACAAGCTGTATGTACAATAAGCCCAACTCTTCGGCTATCTTCCCATTTAAGTTCTGTGGGAACAGGGTGGTTGATCAAGGCGAGGAGTGTGATTGTGGATCCCCTGAAGAGTGTAAATATAGTCTCTGTTGTCTGCCTGACTGTTCTCTCAAGGCTGAAGCTGACTGTGCCACTGGGCTATGCTGCAGCAACCTATGCCAAATCCTGCCATCTGGCACTCTGTGTAGAATTCCGGAGAATGAATGTGACCTTCCAGAATGGTGTAATGGAACTTCACATGAGTGCCCTGAAGATGTTTTTATGCAGGATGGGAGCTCTTGCACTAATGGTGGCTACTGCTATGAAAAAAGATGTAACAGCCATGACGAACACTGCCGGAGAGTTTTTGGCAAGGATGCCAGGAAAGCATCTGATAGTTGCTACCAGGAACTCAATACTTATGGTGATCGTTTTGGTAACTGTGGAATCATGGACAATGTATATGTGAAATGTAATAGTTCGGATATCCTCTGTGGAAGAGTTCAGTGTAACGAAGTGAAAAAGCTTCCCTTTTGGAGGAGTCACTATACTGCACACTGGACTCATTTCAATGGAGTCAGCTGCTGGAGCATTGACTACCACTTTGGGATGACCATCCCTGACCTGGGGGACATAAAAGACGGCACAAGCTGTGGTCCAGAGCATGTGTGCATCAACAGAAAGTGCGTCAGTAAGTCACTTTGGAGAAGCGACTGTTCACCAGAGACCTGCAACAAGAATGGAGTCTGCAATAACAAACATCACTGCCATTGCGACCCTGGCTGGAGCCCACCACACTGCCTGGTCAATGGAACTGGAGGGAGTATTGACAGTGGTTCACCTGGAAACGAAACTGATGAGAGAGAGGATGACAAGGACATGGACAAGGACAAGGACAAGGACAAGGACAAGGAGAAGGAGAGGGTGAAGAAATCACAGGAAAATAACTTAATAAGTTGGTTATTTCCTATTTCTTTTGCGGTTTTTCTTTCCCTTTTATTTCTTTGGCTTTTTTCGGGCACTCCACCATCACCTGAGGACAAAGAGACGACGGAACCATCACTCGAGGAAGAAGAGACTAGCACTTCAACTTCAACCACTTCAACTAACACAGAATAGAACCATTGTTTCGAAAGCTATCTTTACCATTTAATGGAATTTCCCACATAGAAATTTTTAGTGTTCTGGTGGGAGAAATGCTATTGTGTGTATTATATGCTACGGATAAAACATCCCAGCAATCTATGATGAGCCAGACGAATATACTTCGATCATGCAATGAAAATAAAAACTATCATATTGCTGCTCTTCATACTCTGAAGAAATTATGTAACTTATTTCAATTTTTTAGTTTACTTTATCTCATTTTCTAGTTAAAAAAAAAACCAAAACTTTTATGGGTTGCACCTTTTTGAATCATTGGCCAAAGGTGGTTCCATAGAGCCATCAAAATTTCATAGCCTACTACTGCCAGTCCATTAGGATTCTCCACATCTTGGTGGTAAGGCTCCTTTGCTGAAGATACCACTCATTATTCATGAAATAGTTCATTGAGTATTGACATTAGTGGTTCTTCAGTGGTCTTGTAGAATTGTGCTGAATTCATTCAGCCCTTTTTTTGGGGGTGGGGTGGGGGGTGGGGGGTGATGCTGGGAGATTTTTAGTTACTGCTTCTGTCTCAGTAAGGGGTTATGAGTCTACTAATTGTTAACTTTTGTAGATCATATATATCAAGAAATTAATCTATTTCCAGTTTGATGGAGGGAAGATTTTAAAATTATATCTTTGTGATTCTCTGGATTTTTTTTTGTATTTGTTGCAACAGCTCCTTTTTCATCTCTAATTTTATTAATTCAGCTCTTCTCTGTCCATCTTCTGGTTAATTTGGCTAAAGATTTCTGAATACTGTTGACTTTCTCAAAGGTCAAGTCTTTGTTTCATTGAATCTTTGTATTTTGTTTTTGTTGCTGCTGTTTGTTTAATTTCATTGATTTTAGCCCTGAGTTTGATTGTTTTTTCACATCTACTCTTTTTTTCCCTTTTATTTTATTTTACAATACCATTCAGTTCTACATATCAGCCATGGGTTCCCCTGTTCTCCCCCCTCCCACCCCCTCCCCTTACCCCCAGCCTACCCTCCATTCCCACCTCCTCCAGGGCAAAGCCTCCCCCGAGGACTGCGATCAACCTGGTAGACTCAGTCCAGGCAGGTCCAGTCCCCTCCTCCCAGGCTGAGCCAAGCGTCCCTGCATAAGCCCCAGGTTTCAAACAGCCAACCCATGCAATGAGCACGGGACTCGGTCCCACTGCCTAGTTGTTCACATCTACTCTTTTTGTGTATTATTTCTTCTTGTTTTTCTAGAGCTTTCAAGCACATCACCTAAGTTACTATGATTAAATTTCTTTAGCATTTTATGTTGACACTTAGTGCTATAAACTTGCTTCTTAGAACAGCTCTCATGGTGTCCCATTTGTTTGAGTATGCTGTGTTTTCATTTTCATTTAATTCTAAAACACTTTTAATTTTCTTACTGATTTCTGTCTGGACTCAATTTTCATTCAGTGGTTAGTTGTTCAGCTTCCATGAGTTGTAAACTTTCCACTGTTTCTATTGTTAATATCCATCTTTAATCCATCATGGTCAGATAAAATGCAAAGTGTTATTTCAATTTTTTTAATATATTGTATTGTTGTTGGTTGTTCTTTTCCTCTTTTGGAGGTCCCACCATCCATCTCCCAAATAAATCACACACAGAGGCTCATTTTTACTTATAAATGCCCACCTTAGCTGTTGTAGAATATTATTTTAAGGTGTGTTACTTTTATGTTGCATTTGTTTAATTCTGTGAAGCTGTGTTACTGTGCCTGTCTAAAACACCTGATGGTCTAATAAAGAACTGAATGGCCAATAGCAAGACAGGAGAAAGGACAGTCAGGGTTGGCAGGCAGAGAGAATATGTAGAAGGAGAAATCTAGAAGAAGAGGATAGAAAGAAGGAGCCAGAGAAGGAGGAGGTCATCAGGGGCCAGCCACCCAGGTAGCTAACCAGCAAACCATGGAGTAAGAGTAAGATTTACAAATGTAAGAGAACAGGAAAAGCCCAGAGGCAAAAGGTAGATGGATAATTTCAAGTTAAGGAAAGCTGGCAAGAAATAAGCTAAGCTAAGGCCAGACATTCATAATTAAGAATAAGCCTCCATGTGTAATTTATTTGGGAGCTGGATGGTGGGACCCCCAAAAGAGTAAAAAAAAAAAAAACAACCAATAACACTTAGCTTGTCTTGTTTCTTGTCAACTTTTCTTAACTTTAAATTATTCCATCTATCTTTTGCCTCTGGGCTTTTACCTTTCTCTTACTTCTGTATATCTTACTTTCACTCTTACTCCATGGCTGGCTGTGTGGCTGTGTGGCTGGCCCCTACTGTCCTCCTCTCCTTGTTCTCTTAATTTTTCCTTTCCTCCCAGATTTTCCCTTCTATTTATTCTCTCTGCCTGCCTGCCCTACCTATCCTTTCTCCTGCCTCGCTGTTGGCTGTTCTGCTCTTTATTAGACCATCAGGTGTTTTAGACAGGCAAAGTAACACAGCTTCACTGAGTTAAACAACTGCAACATAAACAAAAATAACACACCTTAAAATAATATACAGCCAGGTGGGGACGGCACACTCCTTTAATCCCAGCACTCGGGAGGCAGAGCCAGGTGGATCTCTGTGAGTTTGAGGCCAGCCTGATCTACAGAGTGAGATCCAGGACAGGCACCAACAACAACAAAAACAAACAAACAAACAAACAAAAACTACATGGAGAAACCCTGTCTCGAACCCCCCCCCCATTTCTACAACATTATATTTTTATATGTTATATTTTTTAAGTGTTGAGACTTTCGCTGTGTCCTAATATGTAGTCAATTTTGAAGAAAGATCCATGGACTGCTGAAAAAAAAAAGTATATTCTTTAACATTTGGGTAGAATGGTCTATAGTTTCTGTCAGGTTTATTTGATTTAAGACAATAATTAACTAGCATTTCTGTTTGGTTTTTGTCTGGATAACTCATCTATCGGCAAGTGTGGGGTATTGAAGTCATCCATTATCACTGTGTGAGAGTCAATATGTGATTTTAACTGTAGTAGTGTTTTTTATAACTTGGGTGCCTTTGTACTTGGTGCATAAATGTTTAGAATGGCTATATTCCTCTTGGTGGATTTTTGGTGAGAATGTACTGTCCTTCCTAATTTATTCTGATTAATTTTTGTTTGAAGCCTGTATTAAAAGATATTAAAATGTCTACACCTGTTTACTTCTTGGGTCCATTTGCTTGGAATACCCTTTTTCATCCTTTTCCCCTAAAGTGATGTCTGTCCTTTTTGGTGAGGTATGTTTCTTGGATGCAGCAGAAGATGAATCCTGTTTTCTAACCCAATCTGTTAGTTTATGTCTTTTTATTTGGGTACTGAGATCATTGATATTGGGAGATACTTGTGAGCAATGTTTATTAATTTCCAATATTTTGTTGTAGTGGTGTGGCTTTTTCACTTTTTTTTTTTTACAAACAGTTCTGGAATTATTTATTCCTTGTGTCCTGTTGGGTGTAGTTAGCCTTCTCTTCAGAGTAAAAATTTCCTTCTAGTGCCTTCTGTAGAATGGACAGAAATTGCTCAATTTTTTATTTTATCATAAAATGTTTTTCTTTTTTCATTGATTGTGATTGAGGGTTTTCTGGGCATAGTGGTCTGGGCTGGAATCTCCAGTCTCTTAGAAATGGTAGAACATCTGTCCAGGTCCTTCCTTCTGGCTTTCAGAGTCTCCACTGAGTAGTCAAGTGTTATTCTAAAGGGTCTGTTTTTATATGTAACCTGTTCTTTTTTCCTTGCAGCTTTTAATATTCTTTCTTTGTTCTGTATATTAGCATTTTGATTATTATGTGCCATGTAGAGTTCTTTTTTTTCTGGCCCTGTCTATTTGGTATCCTGTATACTTCTTGTATCTTAATAAGCACCTTATGCATTAGATTGAGGGGATTTTCTTCTATGATTTGTTTAAAAATATTTTCTGTGCCTTTGACTTAGGTTTCTTCTCCTTTCTCTGTACCTTTCACTCGTAGATTTGGTCTTTTCACAGTGTCCCCGAGTTCCTGGATGTTTTGTGTCTGGGTTGTTTTTTAGATTTAACATTTTCTTTGACAAACTATCCATTTTTTTTCTACCATGTCTTCATCATCTGAAACTCTCTCTTCCATGTTTCTTTGTTTGTTTGTTTTGTTTTGTTTGTTTGGTTTTTGTTTTTTCAAGACAGGGTTTCTCTGTATAGCCCTGACTCTGTTGTAAGTCCTAGAACTCTGTAGACCAGGCTGGCCTTGAACTCAGAGATCCACCCATCTCTGTGTCCCAAGTGCTGGGATTAAAGGGCTGCGCCACCACCGCCTGGCCCTCTTTCATGTTTCTTAATCTAAAGTTTTTATTTGACAACCTGTTTTCTATTTCTGTTTTCATTTCAGTTTGGGTATTTTTAAATGGATTCTACTTGTTTATTAGATTCTTCTTTCATCTCTTGAATTATTTTCAATTGTTCAATGTTTGTGTTTTCACAATCTTCATTAAGACTTTTATTTATACCCTCTTTTATGTCTTCAAACACATTCATAATTTGTACTTTGAAATCCTTTTCTTGTGTTTTAGCTAAATTGCTTTTCTTGTGGCCTAACACAATAAGGTTGCTGGATGTTCACATGGCCTTGGTTGCTCAAGTTTATGATTTTGCAGTGGAGGTAGGCATCTGGAGTTCTGACATTTGGATTGTTTTTTAGTGTAGACAGCTGGTATTGTCTTTGTTGGGAAGGTTTTTGATCATTTGGTTGCTGTTGCCCACTCTGAGTCCTATCCAAGTATGATCCATGTGAAGTCCCAGGTAGATGGGCTAGACAAAATGGGAAGGGGAGTACTAGGGGAACCCTGGGTCTACATAAAAAGGGTAAGCCCCTAGAGGGGGTGGGGATGGGCTAGGAGGAGAGGTTCTTACAGGCAGGTTTCAGCAAGGCTAATGGTAAGTCTGGAGAGACTGAAGTAAGTTTTTGTTTTGTTTTGTTTTGAGTTGTATTGTGTTGTTTTTAAGACAGATTCTGACTATGAAGACTAGGCTGTTTTTGAACTTGTATTCCTCCTGCCTGAGTATGCCAAAACCTGGCTTATAGGCATGTCCCACAATGTACATCTAAGACAACTCGTTTCTTTTGTTCTTTTTTTTTGTTGCTTTTGTTTTTATTTATGTTTATTTTTATTTACTGGGCCTTGTACATGTTTGGCAAGCAGTCTATCACTAATCTATATTCCCTAGGCTGGTGGTTTATTCTTTTAAGATCTGAAAAATAAATTTGTGTGTATTTATATGTGTACACATGTATATGTGTACCCTTGGGAGCCAGAAGAGAGTGTTGGATCCCCTGGAGCTGGAGTTACAGGCAGTTGTGAGCTGCCCATTGTGGATGCTGGGAAGTCAAACGCCAGTCCCCTGGAGGTACAACAAGTTCTTTTAACCTGCTGAGCTATCCATCTCCTCAGGCCCCCAGTGGTTTATTTTTATTGGAACTAGTGCCTTGGCTTTTACTGTGTAAGGATCCAACTCATGGAATTCTCTGTACCTGTATGTTTTCAATGCTGTTTCTCAATCACAAAACACCTATCCCTTTTCATTCTGCTTTGCCACATGAAGAGAGGGAGCCTCCAAGTTTCGTGTCTTTATTTTTAGCCCTTTGTAGTAGAATGTTCCCATAGGGAATCCAGAGGGGAACTAGAAACTTGTTTGATTGGAGTTTCTATCAGTTTACCCCAGTGTCGGCTCTCGTCTAGGCAGCACCAGCAGGTCTTAGGATCTGAATATGGTTATATGTTCATTCATCTACTCCCCACATTAACAGAGTTGTCAACTTTAGAGATCCTGAACAGTATTGGACTACTTACCCCACAGTTCTGAGTCCTAAATATTTGAATTCTCCACAAGATTGTGGAGGTTGGACCACCAAGATGATTGTGTCTTCTTTTTAGATATTTGGGCCTTAGAGTGGTAGGATAAACTCCAAAACTCTGTGTCTGAGTGTCTTCAATCTCTCCCTTTTGATGTCTAGCCACAGTGGTGAGAGCTACACATTTTTATTAACTTGTGCTCATCTCAGGGTGTTCTTCAATAGGGAACTGAACTCTGTGTGATACAGAACATAACAGTAAAATTCATCACAGAATTTTTTTTTTATGCTTACCATGCAACAAAACCTTTATTAACATTTTCAACAGAGGTTCAGCTATTACTGAAACTTGTAATTTCTTAAACTTAAATTGGGGCAAATGGCTATAGTGCAGAGTAATGCCATCATTGCCCACTGGGAATGCAGACTGAAGAGTTAATAGCCACCCCTCAGACAGAGGACCAGGTGCAGGGTGGACCCTTTCTGGATGTAGTCAGAAAGAGTGCGGCCATCTTCCAGCTGCTTGCCCGAAAAGATGAGTCGTTGCTGGTCAGGGAGGATGCCCTCTTCATCCTGGATCTTGGCCTTGACATTCTCGATGGTATCACTAGGCTCCACCTCTAGGGTGATGGTCTTGCTGGTCAGGGTCTTCACGAAGATTTGCATTTTGACCTGTTCATGAGTGTGATGAAACCACAAACCACCGAGCACATAGAGCCACCCAGACGCAAGCAGCTCCACAGCAGACAAAGCTTCTCATCACTCCCATCACAGAATTTTATTGCCGCCCATTAGATCTTGGGAACAGGATTTAGACTTAGGTAGAATTCCTTTAAAATCATGGCAGTCAATTACTGTTCTCTTTTGCTTATAAAATAGGACTGTGGGTGTACTTAAAGGGAGTCTATGTTGGATGGTATAAGTATTATTAAATCATGTTTCCTCTGCAAATAAAATCCCCAAATTTTATTCAAACTTTAAAAACCATATTGCAAAGGCGGGAGAGAGCTGTGATCATCAAATGGATGACCAAATCAACTTATATTTTATATACAGGAAACCATTTTGAAATACTTTTGTCTTCCATTCATTTCTTTGGCGTACTCACTACATGTGAGTTGAGAATAGGATTTGTCTTAGGCAAAAGAGAGGACTTCTGCCCAGAGATTCAAAAAAAAATTAAGTATTTACACTGCACTAAATTAATAATATTTGGGACCCTCAAATACTTGTCAGTTTTCTCCAGGTTACATTTGCAGAACTTGATGTATTTCAGGGATACCGCTGAGATAATACGATGTTTCTAAATGGATATTTTCATAAATCTTGTTATATCCTAAATACATACTGAAAAGTGCATTTGTATCAAGTATGTATAGTTTCACTATTAGAAAACTTACATTATTTTGAATTTAAATTTGGCCTGAGAAATACATAGGGAACCTTTGGATGGTAGAGAATGTACTAGTGGTTTTCATTGCTGTGACAAAATACTTGAGAAAATAAACTTAACTGGTTGGGATATAGCTTACTGGTAGAGCACCATTTTAGTATTCACAAGGCCCTGGGTTCCAGCCCCAGTACCACAGAAATAAATGTAAAGGAATAATGATTCAGCAATAAGGGCTTATCGTCAACCTCTGAAGAAGAGCAATAGCAATAGCCTATATTGTTTTGGGAGTCCTGTCAATGCCCTTGACCAACAGCTCAAAAGAAAGTTTCTCATGCCTGTTGTTTTTATTAGACAGTCTATACCTCTTAATGTGAACATTGACAACCCAAGTGGAATAACTTTATTTAAACTACATCACACACACACACACAGAGCACATATCAATTTTTTCTTTTTTTTCCATTTTTCTTTATTAAGAAATTTTCTACTCACTCTGCATACCACCCACAGATCCCACCTCCTCCCTCCTCCCACCCCCTTAGCCTTCTCTCCCAAGCCACTCTACATTCCTACATCTCCTAAATCAAGGTCTCCCATGGGGAGTCAGTAGAGCCCGGCACACTGAGCCTAGGCAGGTCCAAGCCCCTTCCCACTGCACTGTGGGGCGTTTTCCCACCAACCCCACAGTTCCCCAGAGTTTTCTTGAGTGCGAGCAGCAGGAAATATTAGATAGAAGGATTTATTGCAGAGAATCTTGTGGAGATAACAGATAGAAAATAAAGGATAGCCTCGAGAGGGCCTGGAACCTATTCCAACAGGCCCTGACTGTTTCTGCCCCAGGGTTTTTATAGAGATGCCAAGGGGTGGAGCAAAAGACCTCCTCCCCCAGCACAGCCAAGTGCAGACCATCTCAGACACCTGCACTCAGGCCCATGGTCCTGATCATCCTCTATTCTGACCTGCTGGGTAAAGCCACAAGGAACCTGAGAATGGGCTCCCACACTGCACCAAGGCTGCACAAGGCATCACACCACAGACACCCAATTCCCAAAAGCCTGCCCATGTACCAGGGACAGATCTTGATCCCCCTGCCTGGGTGCCCCCCAAACAGTTCAAGCCAAACAACCATCTTCTGTATCCAGAGGGCCTAGTCCAGTCCCATGGGGGCTCCATAGCCACTAGTCTACAGTTCATTGGCTTCCACTAGTGTGACAGGTCATCTCTGCACATCTTTCCATCATGATCTCAATTTCCCCCGTCTGCAGAATCCCTCATCTCTCTTATTGATTCTGACAGAGGGCTGATCTCCAAAATATATAAAGTACTCAAAAGGCTAGACTTCAAAATAAATCTAAATAAAACTGAACAATCTAAATAAAAAAAAAAAGGGCTACAGAGCTAAACAGAATTCTCAACAGAAGAATCTCAAATGGCTGAAAGACATTTAAGGAATTGCTCAACATCCTTAGTCATCAGGGAAATGCAAATCAAAACAACTCTGAGATACCATCTTAGACCAGTCAGAATGACTAAGATCAAAAACACTGAAGACAGCTTATGTTGGAGAGGATGTGGAACAAGGGGAATACTCCTCCACTGTTGGTGGGAATGCAAACTTGTACAGCCACTCTGGAAATCAGTATGGCGGTTTCTCAGAAAATTGGGAATAAGTCTTCCTCAAGACCCAGCTATATCACTCTTGGGCATATACCCAAGGAATGCGCAATCATACCACAAGGACACATGCTCAACTATGTTCATATCAGCATTATTCATAATAGCAAGAACCTGGAAACAACCTAGATGCCCCTCAATTGAAGAATGGATAAAGAAAATGTGGCACATATACACAGTGGAGTACTACTCAGCAGTAAAAAAAAAAATGACATCATGAAATTTGCAGGCAAATAGATGAAACTAGAAAACATCATCCTGAGTGAGGTAACCCAGACTCAGAATAACAATCAATTTGTATTCCCACCATGTGATAAGTGTTGCTGGAGAGCTTCTCTCCAGGTTCCCCAAGCCCCGCAGTCCCACAATCCACTTATAAAATAATCACTCAGACGCTTATATCACTTATAAACTGTATGGCCGTGGCAGGCTTCTTGTTAACTGTTCTTTTATCTTAAATTAACCCATTTC